AGGGATCTTATCTATTCACGAGCAGCTTGTAACACTCCAAAGAGAAAGGAAAACTTGAAATCGCATCATTTGACCCCTTTAAAGTATAGGAAAACAGAAATATCATAAAGAGTGAATAGAGAGCTTTTGTAAACAGAAATAAAAATGACACAATGAATACATGTTTTAAATTAAACTCAGTCCTAATTTTATTCAGAATACCTTATTTAACGGCCTATTCTTTTGACTTTGGCAGCTAATGGCTTGCAAATCACCCAAGTCTTCCTATGGAGCCGTTCAAGGTGGTAAGTTTCTTTCACAGGCCAGTTTTGTCTGTAGTTGAGAATTGCTCTGTTTAACAGCTTTTCTTGAAATAATTGGCATTTTATGAATGTTAATTTCTTGAATATGTGCGAGAGAAAAAGGGAGGTTACAGAAGATGCAGAATCATTACTCTAGTCTCTGAACTTTGGTTAAGGTCTGTAAACAGAGCTGAAGAGATGCAATCGTGTGATTTCTGCGGATACGGCCCGGGCGATAATACCCACGGCGTCTCATTCAAGTAAGTTTGCGACCAGTTTGCCGTTTAGCGGTAAAACAAAACCGTTCAGTTACTGATTATCTTGTTTCTCTCAGATTCCCTTTAAAAGAGGAACATCGTCGCCACTGGATAGTGAATATGGGGAAGGACGCGGAATGGACTCCATCTGAATCCTCGTCTCTGTGCTCCGCGCATTTCACTCCGGATTGCTTTGAATCTGGATCAGCGCGCTTACACTCAGACGCGATTCCGACTCTATTTAATTTCACACAATCTACGGTAGGCCTAAGTCTATCTATCTATCTATCTATCTAGACAGACAGACTTAAAATTAGGTTTATTAGAGTAATCATTAGAGCCTTCATTTTTTTTTGTATTCACACAGAACCTTCAACAGAAGGTTTTAACAAACCATAAACAATTATATTTCAAAATGCTAAAACTTTTTGTGTTTCAGAATCAGATGCTAAAGGACACTGAAAATCTCCCTCCACACCAAGGAGCACCAACTGAATCCACCGAATCATCCAGATCATCCTGCTCTGACTGCTATAAACGTCTGAAGGCCACAGAAAGAAATTACCAGCTGAAATTAGCTGCTGCTCAGCTTCAGATAAAAGAGTACAAAAAGAATCTAGTGGAGGAGTCACAGAAAGCAACACAATGGCAGAAGCGAGCAATAGTTTTGCAGAGCGCAATCAGAGCAATGAAACAAAGGGGGTCAATACCTGCATCAAGAAAAACATCTAACGTTACACCTAAAAATAATCATTTGGACTGAAAAAACACATTTTGACATTGGAGATTAAATGGAGAAATGCCTTCTTTGCAAACTGAAGCACAGCAGTTTTCAAAATACTTTACAAAATACACTTAAAGGCACAATATGTAATTTTCGCCGCTAGAGGGCGCGTATTCAAAATAAACAAAGAGACAATATTATACACTTGATATGTATACAAAATATTCTTACCAATTAAAAAATACATGTACTATTGCATTTTATATAAGCAACAGTGAAAAATTACTGTTTGGATATTTCACAAGACAGGTCATGAGATAAAAGACAAAAAAGTGCAAGTATAACTTTAAACAAAAAAAGATGAATGGTTACAGTAATGTAAATGTATAGCACCAATAGACATTTTATTACTGAAATTCGATGCTCTCAGCCTACTGACAACAACAATGTAACATTGAATAAAAAGATGCCTTCTGCATTGTTATGATATAGATATATTCACATAATGACCCTGCTATAATTAAAAACAACTTTGGCTGAAAAAGAAAATGATAAATCCTGAGTTTGTTGTAATTTTGTCTCTTAAACCAACTCAAGTACTAAGCTAATACAAATTTAAACAGGTGATTGTGATGTTTTAAATGGTATTTTATGGATATAAGAGATTAATTATGAATTACAAACTTACTGTACTTTATAAAACCATCATACTGTATATACTGATATTATTACATATTAGATATAAACTGACAATCATATACTGCAACTACAAAGCCAAGTGTGTGTTTTAAAACCAGATACAAGCAAAAGCTCAAAAAAGACAATATCCAAATTATTGTACGCGCAGTACAACCTTCATTTTAGATATGTAAATTAAAGAAGAAAAGTTTTGCAAGAAGATAATAATATCTTGAACTCTCTTTATTGCATAACGGCCACCTTGAGACAGGGCAAAATGACACAAGAATTTGTCTATAAGACCAGAATTCTCATTCTAGGATGGATATGAAATACTAAAAAGAGATCTTTCTTGGTACTCACCAGTAGCATGTTAAATAAAAAATCCTTCAAGAGTAAAGTGCAATGCACAGCAAAGTCAAGAGGTCATCAGTAGTGACAATTAGACAAATACATGCCAGTCCATGTAAAGGAAGTCTAAAAAGACACCTGAAAGAGTTTTCAGATTGGTGAAGGCGTGTGGAACGAGGATCCAGTGAGAGCAGGATCTCCAAACACATTGACGTAAGAAGATTTGAGGAACTGGACATAGTTCTGGAGGCTGCGGTTTGTGCTGTCGGACTGCTCCAATCTGTCCTTGACGTCTTGTAAACGGCTCTGATACCTCCGCTCAGCCTGTAAGAAAGTTATGGGTGTTTTGACAAATTTTTTACAAAAATATCTAACAGAAATTCACATATGGAGAAATTTCACTGACCTCCTCTTTGGCTCGTCGTAACTGGTTGAGCTCAGTTGTTGTTCTGCTTAGTTGAGTTTCTAGGTCAACAATTTTGGACTGTGTAACACGCTCTTTAGAGGCTGCTCGCTCCCTGGTCTGGGTAACCTGTTAATCAACAGGGTATCTTCAATAAAAAACCGAGCAATGCAAATGATTAAATCCATGTGTTTTTAAAGATGTAGTGGTACAGACCTGTCGACGAGCATCGCCCAGGGCCTCCTCCAGCTGTCGAGTCAGAATACTGCACTCTCGAGACTTTTCTTCCAGACGCACCTGGTTGCTATGAATTGTTTCTTCACGTTTTGAAATTACCTGGATGAGGTCTCGATTTTGGGAGTTAGCCTCCTCTAGCTTCCTGTTGACAACAGAAGATAAAATGAAACCCAAAAAAAATAAATGTTCTTTTTAGCAACATCATATGACCCCTTTAATGCATTCTTGCTGAATAAAACTTACTGTCCCCAAACTTCTGAACATTACTGTACATAGTAAGCCTTCCATTTCCAGAGTCATGAATTAACCAGAATTGATATGAGATGCAAATTACTGTGCTTTTTTCAACAACATTCATTGTAGCAAACTGTTATTTTAAAAACCTGTGTAAGCAGTACACATTAAGCTCATTCAACTCACTATCTCCAAGAGCTGGGCACTGAGCTGTCCCACAGTGTCTTCACTGCGCTGTGTCCGCTGTTTCTGTGCCCGTGTGGCTTTTTTCAGGGCCTCCTTATCAGCCTCCGCCTGCTGTCTGAGGTCACGCAACTGATTCTGCAGGTGTTCTACCTCCCCCTGCTGCTGGCTGATGGATCGCTCCAGATTCTGAACCAAATCAACACACTTTCATACATTTTATATACCATATATACTTGATTACATCAAGTTATTTAGCTATCAACTAGACATGTCTTGTAGAATAAACACTATAAAATGAGTGGCACATTCTGCTTGAAAACCATTATGTTGTTAGCCAATGCTGTATGCATTACCCTGATCTGAACATTGAGACGGTTATTTTCTGCTTCTTTATTGCGTAGTTGACCCTGCAGATGTGCTCGAGTGGACTCCAAGACTTTGGACAGTTCAGTGGTGGTCTTTGCACTGTCCTGTTAAAATGGGAATTGATAAAGGTTCACAAATAATTGTCAGTGTCGTGTCTATAAAACATGCTTAAAAATACAGTTTACCTTTTCACTTTCTAACAAGGAAGTGAGCTGGTTAATCTCTTTGTCTTTGTCCTGAAGCTTTACAAGAATATGCTGGAATACAGAAAGGAGTTCATTCTTATAAAAAAATCAAAAACACCTGTTTACAGTGCAACATGCTTTTTGCAAACATAACACAAACCGAATTTTCTGCTTCCACATCAGAAAGTTTTTTCAGAAGCACGTCTTTCTGCTCTAAGAGTCTTAGTGATTCCATCTGTTATAACACAAAGCAGTATAGAAAAGTTAATAACTGTTTTAAGTACAATAAAATGTAGTTGTTTAATAATTGTTGTTTTGAATTTGTGCAGAACAGTACCTCTCGATTATGCTGTTCTCTCAGAAGATGTCTGAGGGCTCTGTTAGTGCTCTCAAAAGTCTCCAGCTTCTGCAGCAAGAGCTCTTTCTGTCGGGTCAAGAGCGTTGAATCTGATCCTGACATCTTTTTCTCCTGGACAAAGGTATGACATTTTTTTAATTCATTTCTGTTTCTTGCTCTTTTTCAAGATATTCTAGTTTCAAATGTTCACAAAAACCAATCAGAAATGTTTTGAAAGGTGTATTTTGCTCACACTCGGGCTCCTGGACATATGGCTGACCGTTTCACGCAGGGCCGACACCTGCTTGGCGGCTGCACTGCTGTCCATCTCTGCTTCCAGCAGTTTCCTGAGTAGAACATCTTTGTCTGGCTGCAAACTGTCCCTCTCTAATCTAGACAAGAAGAAATGGTTCAAACTGAATTTTAAATTTGTTATAGGTAATAGCAAACTGTTAAAATGTCAACAATTTCATCATACCTCCTAAAATCATTCCCCTCCAGCATTTTTTCCATGGACTCCCGTAGGCGGGAGTTCTCCTGCTCTGTGGCCTCCAGTTCCCGGGCGACCTCTGCAAGCTCCTCCTCCTGCTCAGCGATGACGCGCTGTGTTGCGCTCAATCTCTCCGACTGACGCTCTAGCAGCTGCTCCTTCTTACGAAGCTCTACCTGCAAACACAAACATCACACACTTTTATTCATTTCACATGTGTACCACATTAACTGTATTATACCACACTATTCTATTCACTATATATATATGTGTGTGTGTCTGTGTGCAAAATAATTATATTATTCTAATTTATTTAATTTTTAATTAAAAAAACATTTTAAATTAAATTGTTATCATTTATTTAAGAAATAAACAAAATTATTCAGTAAGGATGCATTAAATTGATCAAACATGACCGTAATGGTTTCCACAAAAATATTAAGCAGTACTAACATTGATGATAATAATAAATCTTAGATTCATATTAGAATGATTTCTGAAGGATCATGTGACACTGAAGACTGGAGTAATGGCTGCTGAAAATTCAGCTTCGACATGACAGGAATAAGTGACATTTTATACTATATTAAAATAGAAAACAGTTATTGTAATAACATTTCACAGTATGTTTTTACTGTATTTTTTAACAAATAAATGCAGCCTTGACTGTTATTAGAGACTTCTCTCAAAATCATAACCACAAAAAAAAATCTTACAGACCCGAAACTACAGTGTATATATGTGTTTAAATAGAAACAGTTTGTTTCTAATTAGTGGATGAATATTTTCTGGGATATAATTTAGCTGAAAGAAAAGAATGACAATAAAATTGCCTTTGAAAATTTTCTCCATTTCTCCAATCTCTTATTTCTCACCTCATTTTTCAGAGAGCTGACCTCTGTCATAAGGCTGTCGATTTTCCTCTCGTACTGATTGATGCGTCCATGCAGTGCCTCTTCTTCATCCGTGGAGAGATCTTCTATTCGGAGAGGAGACTGGGAACATTCTGGTTCCTGTGGAGGTGTTATCTCCAGACGATGAGATGGCCCCTAAAATATACATAAATATCAAAACATCTAAAACAACGAAAAGTTTTATTTTCTGCATAGTGTGCAATATTTTACACAAATTGTGCACAAGCACAAATGGGAATGCATCTGTAATATTTAACTGACCTCCCAATTATATGAGGTCTCTCGTGTTGAGACCTTGCCAGGTGGGATCCATGGGACCCTCGTCTTCACCTTAGCAGTAGGATGCAAGCTACTTGTTGTTTTAACCTGGAACATAAAAGACATACATGATGAGTGATGGGTTTTAAGGAACTCTAGAGTATTTCTCAGCAGCATTAAAAGAACTGAAGCTACACACCTCTATAGACATTTCTTTATTCTTGTGTAATAATCATTGTAATTATATATTTAAGAGTATTTTGAGGATGGTTGTGTATGCAGAGACTACAATCTTATGTTATACCTGGGCTGTCTTGGTAGGGCTGCATTTTGTGCTCTTCTTCACATGCACGTGCACAGGCGTAGTAGTCTCGTTCACATGCACGTGCAGAGGTGGGGAAGAAGAGCTTGTTCTTGTTGATTTTCTCTGCAGAAAAGATAAATATCAATAAATAGGCCTGCGTAAATACATTTAAAAAAAAATACAGATTGTACGACTGCTAGAACTTAACTAAGAAACATACAATCCTGTATATCATGTAATGCATTGTCATAATAATTAATATACATGATCTAAATCACTGATATTAATTAGTAGGTTGCATGTAATATTTGTGCTCTTAAAAATTGGATGTCTGATGATCTAACAAATAATAAAAAAAAAGCATAATATATAAATTAAAAGATATAAAAACATATATATGTACACACACATATAGCTTCTTTAATTTTTTTTGTATTTAAAATTAATCAGTCATAACTACACACTAACTACTCAAGTAAAGTACCAGTCTTTGTTTATAGATCAGGGAACACATATCTGAAGGATCATTTTACTGGTCATACATCTTCAGGTCATGTTTCAGAGGACAGTGCTCAAGACTATCAGAGCGGTAAACAGAGACCACCACAACAGACCCTCTTACAATCATGACTGACATCTGGCTTAATGTAAAGGTGACATCAAATTCTCTATATGCAAGAACCTTTATGTTCATAACCATATACCACCATTACATCACAAATGGATTCAGAAGTGAATGAAAGCCAAATAGGACACTGAGCTGCAAGCTAATAGGCAATTAACCTCATAAGGAAGCAGAAACTAGCTTTAACGGCACATAAACACAAAGACAGCGAAACAGAAATGAAATCGAAATCATGAGTAAGACAGAGAAGCTGCAAATAGAGGAGGAGAATTGTCCATAAATCAGTAGAAGTATAGTTTGAAGATGTCTACAATACAAAGTCATTAAAACATAAAGCGAAACTTATTTATTTGCAAACCATCTTACCATGCGAAAATACAAACATTCAAACGTTGATACGGGTAAAATGTATACTAAAATAGTTGCGAACTACTTCAGCTTTCTTGTCATCCCAGAGTCTCGAAACCCCTTTCTTCCGGTGGGTAATCGGTCTTTCATTTGATTGGCTGATTCAAAAGGTTTCGTTGCAAGTGCGTGATCGTGATTGGAGGAAATCGCCTGACCTTGGTCAGCGTTATGTAGTACGCTGTCTATAGCAACGGTGTCCCTAGAAACCAAGCCTAACAAAGGCCCAAGCTGCAGTTGTTGTCAAGAATACAAAGCTTAGCATATATGTTTAACGACATTCCAGCGATGATCTTTGTTCGACCAGAAACTATAAACAAGCTGTGGAAATGCTATCTATTATTTTGTTTCAGCGTCTGTTAATTAACCGACGCTGGTGAGCCCACAAATAGGCTACAGCAACATGTGGGAAAAACCGAAATATAATTTTCTACCTAGTAGATTGTGTTTTCTTAAGGTCTACACCTACCCCAACCCTAAACCTACCCCTTACAATAATGCAAAAATAGTAATTATTGTTGTACAGTGTGAGAAAAATTACGCTATATTGATGTGCGCATGCCCAGTAGTTTTTGCGGTATGCCTTCTAGCCACATGAAAACGTCAAGGCGCCTAAAAACCGTGAAGAGTTAGCTTTCAAAATAAAAGCGTCAATAAATAAATTAATAATTTAATATTTAAAAAATGTAATCTGTTTGTTTTAAAACCCCTTAACTGTCACTCACATTTTTGAACATAGATGTGAAAGTGCACCATCCAAACTTAAATTTTTATAATTCATGAATGAAAACATTTTGTAACATGATTTTGATGTACCATTTTCATGGTAATGCAATGTCTGATTTTAAAATGGTTTTCAAAGGATGAATTTTGAGATTTGAAGTTTTCAATTGATATATAATTTCTGATGATTTCTAAAGTGCGATAGAGAAAAAGGCAACGAAGAAGACGTTTTGCTACAAAGGTCAGAACTCCTGTTATGATGTAGATTTTTTGACGTGCACTCTTGTCATAAAGTAATCTATTAATTTCCTACATTTTTAACAAAAAACTGTGGTAAAATATCTATTTAGGAGTCTTAGACCTTTCCAACGATATAAAGTTTGTGGGGATGGATGACAGTTAAGAGGTTTAAACCAATCAATTTTAAAGTTAAAATTATAAGTACATTTCACAGTAAAAGGGTATCAAAAATAAAACATCTAGTTTTTTGACTATAATGTTTTCCACAATATAAATAATGCTAATTTCACATCTGTGTCATCAACAAAATCAAGGGTTGCTCTTTTTATAGTCTATGGGTTTGCTGTAGACCACTGAAGAGACTTGACTGGATTCTTGTGGATGTTGTTTCAAAATAAAAGTCATGCAAAGGCGTACGTGTAAATCATGCCTAAAACACCACAAGATGGTGATAGCGACACGTAATTAGTTTTTCATTGACACTTGTCTTTCAAAGTTTCCTAAAAGCTGACACATACAAAAAGTGTTTTTGTTAAGACAAACGAGAACAACAACAATGTTGCCACTTGCCATTTTTACATATATAAAACAAAACCACAGTATTTGACACAACAAACAAATCATTCATATAAACAATAATAAACTATAAAAGTAATATTTTAGCACTTGTAGAAGAATTAAATTATTATGATAACAGTATCTGCACGACTATCATATTTAATTTGCCAATAATCCAAAACTGCTTTTGATCTGCAAATCTACCTTATCTTTCAGTAGCTGTGGATTCTGTTGTTTTGCCTGCACGATCTAATCGAACTTTCAGGCTTATTAATTATTCATCTTCACGTCATTATGGGAGGGTTCCGGAGTCCGGACCCGGAAGTCAGATGTTGCTGTGTTGAGTCACCCCTGACTGGTAATAGCCAGATAACGGAAAACAACTAGAGATGATGCTGGAGAGCTCGGCATCTTTGAACCGTCCCAGAGAGTGAATAAATGCGTTTTTCAATTAAGATATCACCTTGAGCATTTGTGCTTTACTTTACAAGACTGACGTTTTATCAAAATGATGGAAGAAATTGACCGATTTCAAGTGCCACCAGTAAATCCAGAGATGAAGCTGCTGGTAAGTATCACTCACTCTCACTACATAGAGAATAACACTGTGCACCTTTACAGGTCGTGGGAAATGACACCGTGTGAGAAGACAGTAATTCTGTATTACCTTACCCACAAACGTCAGGCACATTACCAGATGTCATCTAAAGGATCGGTGGGGTTATTTAGACAAAACCGACATATCTAACTATGCTGATACTATGCCAGTTGTTATGGTACTGACATGTACCTAGTCGCGTTTATATGTTCGTAAACCTGCCTTAATGAGACAAAATAAAAACTCTCACAACACAAGTTATATACATGATATTATTTTGTTTGTTATTAGCTGTCCGATTCGTGAATATTACGTTCTTTTGAATCGGAGCTTTTCAATGAATCGGTCTGCGCTGTTTATTGAGTTTGAATCAGTCTGACTCCCTATGATTCGGACCGGAAAAGACGGTTAGGCTATTGTTCAAATGAATCGCCGAGAACCAAATGATTGAGCTCTTACTAATATCAATTGAGTGATTATATGAAATTGTTACTGTACAAAACCAAATAGCAAAAATGTTACAAATGAACTGCACTGGAATGTTTTTTTTTGTGGTAATATCAGGACCAAGCGATGAACCAGTCCCTAAATGTTTTGATTGTTTTAAGCTTAAATTGAATTAGAATTTGTACATTAAATACAATTAAAAGTAAAATAACAAGTAAACTCTTAAAATAACACAGTACTGTAGAATTTAACATTTGTAAGAAAGCACAAGGACGGTAATTACAAACAATACAAGCCGGAAAGTACTTGACTTGAGTAGATTTGAACGCGTCAGCCCAGTCAGACAGTAGTAGCAGACACATACATCTTGAATTTCCTGAATGTCTTATTTGTTTCAGAGCTTGTGTAAACACATTGATTTCCAGTGAAGTAAGTATGTTTTCATTCAGTTAGTAGGCCTGCATTATCTGGCTGGACTGAAGTGTGCACTTTAGAATATGCTGGACTGGTGAGATATGGCCCGGAGTGATAAAAGTGCCAAAGACCCAGCTGTTACCCTATACAACAAACTGTGCTTTCTCATGCTAATTCATTCTTCTGTGAGCATCCCATAGAAAAGGACATACACCCACTGCAATATGTCTCCTGTTTTTGAGAGAAGAATGCTCCTTCCTTTTATGAATTTACTAGTTATTGGCTTTCTGATTTGTTGTACCATATACATAGATGAAGATGACAGTCTATTAGGTCACATAAATGTTAAAAATAACAGCAATGACCAGTTTAATTTCAGAATGCCATGTGGATAAAAGGAGGGCAGCAATAACAGTTAGCTGCCACAACGCTTGTCGGTTTGCAGTGACTGTAATTTTGCCAAGTAGGCCATTTTACAGGATCAGCATCTTTTGTTGGTTCTAGAATATCATTCCTGTTGAACAAACATTGTCCTGACACAAACCCTAACCAGTAAATACCCCTTAAATCAGTGGGAAATTTAAGAAGTAGATGAACCCATCCCATCCCTTTTATTTTATATAAATAAATAATAATATAGGGCTATATATATATATATATATATATATATATATATATATATCTCAGTTGGTTATTGTTGGTATTCTGATTAACCACTATCATGGTAGTCACCTTATGGATCATGCTTTGCTGTGATTGGTCCAGAGTACATCTTGTCATATTATCCCACCAATCCTTTTCATTGCCTCAGCTGTGTCAGCATTCGCTCATCTTCATCTCCTTCATCAACCAACATCACCAAAATGCCATATTGACATGACATGTGGTCAGAAGGGGCATAAAGATCCTGGAGTTCAGATCATAAGGTCCTACATGATGCCATTAATCTAATCTTTCCTGTTGTTAAAAGTTGACCTTCTCATTGACATTCTTGAGGATGAACATTAGTCCTTGGGAGAGATTTTACACGAGACCTACAGGTGTACAATGTGTCAATGGATTCATCGTGGTAATCTTGTTTTTGATGTGTTTCTGTGGATGTGTGACACTTGCACTGCTCTAGATCAATGAAGACTTGCTTATGTGTTTCAGTTCCTATAGATTTCTGATTACCTTAATCTTATAGATCAGCTTTAAACAATGAGACCAGAGATTAGGGTTGCATCAGATTGGGTTCTGTATGCTCTGAGGCTTGGTTTTCTCCAGTCGATCTTGCATAAATTTCACGGGTAGTTGTACATGTAGCTGGTGGAATATGCATGACTTTGATGTTGTTCTTTATGGTGTTGCTCTGAGATTTGTGTAGCTTGTGTAGTCCAACAAAGGCTGTCTGGAAAGCTCAATAACATCGGCTTACTCAACAGAGTCCTTTGTAGACCACAAAGTACAAAGACAGATAGCATTTTTAAATTTATGTTGACGTGAAGCATTACCTTGTATCCTGATGCTCGAAAAAATTAAAATTACATTGTGGACGAGCAACAGCTGGAGATAAAGATGAATCACAATGTACTTTATGCCCAGCATATGATTAGATGCTTCAGGAGCTTGATGGTATCCTGCTGGGCTATTACCCACAATCCCCCGCTGGTCTCTTTAGCTGGTGCTGAGCTTAAAGGGTTTGTGAGAGCCCTGCCAGGCCTACAGCTGGCACTATGCCACGACTGAATCAGTGGGCAAAGAGGTTTCCTTCAATAACAAGTCTACTTCATGTTTGTTCCACAAGTGGATTTCTTTATGATACGGGTTGTTTTTTACATCGTGACTCCTCCAAAGGTTTTAGCATCTTTTATTCACCGCTAACATGAGCTAAGCATGTTTGTTTTGTTAATGTCAGACATTTGATATTACATTTTGATACTGATATTTGATATTGCTAATAGGTACTTAGTGGAAAAGTTCTGAAATGGTGTAAAAAAAAATGTAAATCTAGGTATATCAATGTTATTTTAGTATTATTTATATATTATGGTATGATATATTATGTTTTTATAGTAATTTTAATTTGCTTTCATTTTTATATTTTCTGTTTTCATTTTGATTTGAGTAGTTTTGCCATGTGCTATATATATGAAGAATAGGGAGAAATGATTTTTTTGTTTATCAGCAAATATATAGAGATAAAATGAATAATGTTACAAAAAATTCAGTGTCAACTTAATATAGAAATTAAATAATTTATAGATACAATTTTACACATTTATAATATTTTATTAGTAGTGTTTCATTTTTATATTTTTAGTTTTCATTTTGATTTTAGTTTTAGTAGTTTGTGTGCTATATTATTTTGTCCTTAAGTTTTATTTTTTTCTCAAATATCTCTGTATATATAGTAGT